AGACTAAGTGAATCATGCTTGTTGTATTCCAAAAGTTGACGGAAATCAACAAAAATGGTGCCATCACCTGCCTTGGGTTTGTGACCTGTCCACCTTGTCGATAGCGTAACCGAAAATAAATAGCTCTAGTTAAGTTCTATAGAGATCTATAGAACTAGAAGAATAGAGGGCTATATAGGGATCTGGAGCATAGAGGATGATTGGATGTTGGTGCATGGTTCAGATGCTATGAAGGGCGTTAGGGAATTCGCCATTGAACCTTTGGAAGGCTGTGGGTGTTGCTGTGCGAAGTTAAAAAGCAGAATGATTTATCTTCCTTAATTTCATGTCCACTGTTGATCTCAGTCACTCCTTAACACAAAGCCAGTTGGGGTCCCTTGGCAGTTGTCATGCATGTCCTCAGTGCTTGCAGCTTGCTTTGTAGCCAGGACTTTCCAGGACCCAGTACTGGTATGTCTTTTTAGACTTTTTGCCATTCCCAAACAGGGAAACCGAATAGGATTAATCCGCAGAACCTCATTCTATACTTGGCAGGTGCATGGTCACTGAAATGGACCATAAACCCTACTAAGGGTAGTCTCGCTGCATGGTGCAGAAGAACTGCGCAAAGCACGCGTGCTCAGGAGAACGAGTAACAGAGGACTGGGGGTTGGTGGTACTTTTTGTGCAATTAATTTTTGTGACATACTCCGAAGGCGACAAATTCGCGCGTCGAACTACCACTGCACAACATACTGTGTCGCTGCGATTGACGAATGGCGTGGCGTGCGACGGGACAACTAGCAAAAAATCTCCGCACGCTCATATGATCGAATCGAGACTGAACACTGTTCTATGAACGACGAAGCACTTAACCTGTTGAAATATCTCGACAGCTTGTGACCATACTAAAAAAGTTAGGGGACATATGTGCCGGATTAATTTTCTGAGATAATGGTTAATAGAATTCGATGTGTACGAAACCCAAACAAGAGGAAAGAAGTGGGAATATACCATGTAAAATAGCAGAACTGCAGACATTGAAAACATTTGCTCAATCGCTTTTTCCCTGTAATCATCAATGCGCTCCTTTAGTTTTCCAAGAGTCACAGGCATGAAGGAAGGGTGTGGTGCAGAAGGAACGAAATAGCCGCGTTGCCGCGAGAGGGACGCCGCGCGCGAAGTAGCAGAATGCAGTAGCAAGTAAGAAATACAGAAACAAAAGAACTAACAGTAGAACCATTCCAAAAGTAATAATCGTAAAGCAATCGTGCTGTATGAAGAACGCTAGAACTGTTATAAGGAGGCAAATGGTCCNCGACAGCCGCGTGCGGAGGATCGATTACACAGAACCGTTCCTACTGACCGTCTCCCATGAAGGAAACGCCGCCGGGAATCTCTAAACCTGGTTCTGTCATCAGAAAAAACTTGTACGAGTTACCCACATTTGTCGGCTACTCTGCAAACTCTCGATAGTCTATGAAGTTTACTGTCAAATCATCATCCTGGGTAAAGTTGACACTATACTTGACAGTATACTAAATAAAGTATAGCCTAAGTCGTGGTGAATGGATCTGGAGGGCGGGAAAGCATCGTAAACACACTTTTAATGGAGAAAGTATTTACTGAAAGATGATTTAATATAAATGACAACATAATGACAACTCACAATTCAAAGTAAACACAACTGAGAAAGGTGCTGTGAGTATGCTGATAAAAAAGGAATAGAAAAAAAATTATAGATAGATAATCAACAAGAAGCATTTAATTACCTGGCATTAAGCAGTAGAGTAACATGATAATCGCTCACAAAAGCTGTAACGGGAAAAAAAATTCAACAACTTCGTCGATCACGTAATTTTAGCGAATCATTTCTTTCTCAAATATTCAATCTGAATGGGTTTCAAAGGAACTACAAAGGAAATTCGAAAACAAAATGCAAAACAATACCAGTAAACGCTATACAACTTGGCATCAATGATGAGAAGGAAACGTACAGAGATGAGCTGAAGAGATTTCTCTACGACAAGTGGAATAATGCAAGGCAAAGAACATTTACAGTCAAAGTTACTGGAATTTGAAAGAATAATTATTTTGTACTTGTAAATGTTCATTATTACTTGATGTTTTGATAGGAACAGTGTAAATGTAAAAAAGCTAATACAAGACTTTTTCATTATACTTATGTGATGTCATGTACTCAGAAAATTGATGACACAGATGATTCCAAGTATCGATTGATCCGCAAAATCTCCTTATATTTTCTATCAAGTGTGGTAAAATCAATAGATTATCGATTTTCCGAAGAAAGGGAGGTAATAACAGCGATTTCCGTTGAATCAGACATCCGAATGGGGCATATCCCTAGAATATGGGTCGGTTTCTGTGGTTCACCTCTCGCAAATCGCTATGGGACGCAAGTGGTTCAATCGATAAACGTGCCGAAGGGCGCGTATTGATCGATCTGAACCGCGAAGATCTCATGACGACGCGATGCCCTTGAATGGCTGGATAACTAACATAGAATTTTTTGAATAGTATAATATTATTGCAAAAAATGTTCCAGGAGATTCTTTCACCTAAATTATCGATTGATCGCACTTCACACCCTCTCTCTGGAAATCCGTTATAACCCAATACAATTTTAGAACACTGTAGGAGCTCTTTCGTAGATGATGGAAAGAAAGAAAACTTTAGTTGTAAACTCTCATATTACCCGCATTGAGATCGACTGGTTATCGTAAAATCTCACGTTTCTAAACCGGTAAAACAAATGTAATATTAGAATGGATGGGAGTGTGAATAGGCTCAGATTATTACAAATTATTAAAGAAGTAAATGACGACGGCGGCAAAGAGAAGAGTGAGGAACTGCGGTTGGTTGGAACTCATCGCAAACAGATTTACTGAACAGTCCAGCTTGTGCAGTGGTACCTCGACCAGACGGGCTCCGACGAAATTCCGTGGACTTGCCCGATCGCAGACCAAGTTGTGCTTGTCACGAATCTGAATGAATGCATATCATTAGGAAATAACTCATCTACTTCTTTCCAATTCTACTCATTCAGGCATCCCAAATGGGTGGTATGAACTTCCACTTTGAATCTCGAAGGAACGTAGAGAGTGGTGTGGTGTAGTGCTAAGAAGTGCACTATCCAACTCGTGGTCCGAGTATCGAATCCAGGACTAGGGCTCGCCCGGGACAATCGAAGCTTCCAGCCTTCCAAGGGAGCCAATTGGTACCAGACTTGTCTAGGAGGTTAAAACCCAGTTTGGACCAGTTTGGCTGGCCACTGGCCAAGTCATGTATAAACCACATTTGCATTTAAAACATCACTGCGATCCTGAATGGGAGCTGAGTGCGGGGCACATCCCAGAAATGTTGTTCAACGCCACAAACGTTATCCCCTGCCCTTGGAATATAGAAGGCAAACTTGTCAGAGGTAGGTAAGTTGATTGGAATAACGGATTCGAGTTTAGAGGCTATTCACGACCGTAGGAGTGGATCGAAAACGTGCGCTCTTACCGCAGATATGGTCGAATCTCGGCCAACCCAGCCAAAGCTTCTCTTCCCTCATGAATGGTCAAACACTTCCAGAGCTGCTCGGTGAAACAAAATGCAGGCAATCTCCTTGTATGGCCTCTGGTTCTCACATTCTGGGCAAACAAGTCAAATCATCATCTATCCATTGGAGAGGAGAGTCGAGGCTCAAGCCTCGTCATTATATGTTTTCCGCAGTTTCCGTACGTTGGCCGCTGGCGATTATAGAAAAATAGGGCCCCAAAAAAGAAAGCCTAGTAAATAGTCTCCAGTTTTACTCTCATTGTTACCTGAGCAAGCTAGCTCACTTTCCAGTAGTGTTATGCCTTTCAAAGTTTCGAGAGACAATCACAATAATGCTGGATCTCGGCAAGGACTCACATGCAGTCGCCTCCCTAATATAAGATAATGTTTTCCTTTCCGGAATGCGCCTTGACATTCGATTTCCATCCAGAATCTTACATCTTGCCAATGGCTTATTGAACGCGTTATGGTTCATACAATGACTTGAGGTGACCAGTCGATTAACAAGTCAGTGCTACTTTTATCCTCTTAGACGAGTTACCATCAAACGACCGTGCAGGGGTGGAAAGCCCGTTTGGGCTGGGTGGATATCAACCCAAGATTCAATTCCCGGGCTACGGGTACGTGATAGTGCACTACCAGCCAGTCCACCACCTCTA